GTTAATTTTGCACCTGGAACGGGCCGTTCCGGATGCAAAATTAACACACCAAGAGTGCACCCAGAACGGCCCGTTCTGGTTTCAGAACGGGCCGTTCTGGTTCCAGGTTTTTTAAAAAAAAATCAGCATTCACGTGGCATCCACATGTGCATCTACGTGGCATTCACGTGGCCAACAGTTAACTCCGTTTAACTAATTTAGACGAAAGTCCAACATTGAAACCAATTAATTTATTAGGGCCCAAATTGAGACAAAAAATAAAAGTGGAACTAAATTAAAACAAACAATTATTATAAGGGACTAAAATAGGTTTTTAGCCTAAAATAAAAGTTAGGATGAATTGAATGCTTTCTTCATTATAATGAGGATATTATGATAAAGTGCATTTTTTTTTGCACTCTATATATGTGTGAAAGGGAGAAACTTTTATATTTGTGCATATATTTATCGACTCTCACTATAATGTTGACTTGTCTACTTTATTTTTTGTGTTAGTCAAGCTTTTTGAGATGTGAGAATTGATAAACTGTCTCTGTTTTAAAAAAGACGATAGTCACTACAAGAAAATTGTCATGTAATGACACATTTTATAATAATACAATACTTATCAATAAAAACTATTTTTACCTATATTATAAATATAATATATGTTGGTATATATTATTAAAAACTGTAGATATATGTTATATTGTGTGCTCTTTTCTCTTAATTCTTTGTCTGTACGCATAAGACTTTGTAGTTACTTCATTGTTTTAGAAAAAAAAATGTTAAATTTTTTATTGACACTATTCAATATCCTTGTAGTATCTTTCTTTTCTTCACATATTTTTTTTTATAAATAATTCTTTTAGAAGAACATATAAATTATTTTTAAAATAGAAAATTACTTATTAAAAAAAAAAGCAAACAAATAAAAAAATTTCTTATTTTTATATTTAAAAAGGCATTTTTTTTAGTGAAAAAATTAAACAATGGACTCATAATTCTTTAGTAATTTACAACAGTATCAATGTATGATGAAGGTGTTTTAAATTTATGTAATGTTTAGACAATTGTTTTCATAAGTATTGATAAGAAAAATAAAAATAACAAATTATTTCCATAAATTAAAATTAATTTATTTTTTACTTTTAAACTAAGCATATACATTAATCTTATCTCATGTCAGAAATCGAATTTCTTTAAGTCCTGATCTTTTTTATAAAAAAAAATAAAACGATTCTTTTTGGCTTAACTTTTCATGAACTGAAAAGGGACCACCATTTATAAATATATTTAAATGAAAATCCTTTACAGATGAATATAATAAACTATGGGGGATCTGAAGGAAAAGAAGGAAGGTTCACCTATCATGTATCATTTATGATAAACGAAAAGTATTTTATACCCAAAAACACGTGTTTGACTTTGTAACGCTTAGGTTAGGCCTGAGGCGGATTAAGAGACTTATCACTAATTCACACCTCATTTTGGATTAAAATAAAAGTGAGGAAACTCCATCCAGTGGAAGAGGATAAGGCCAAATAATAATGAAAACGAAAACGGAAAACAAAACAATTCATACAGTACAATACAATGTTGTTGTTGGATACCTTATCCACAACATTTTTTTACCCCACAAAAGAACACGTAAATATTCATATTCTAGAACATAATTACATTTTCTTGCCAAAGTTATAAATACGCCAACAAATCTATAAAGATCGCTGTGTCCTGTGTTTGTGTCTATCCATTCCATTTCCAACACACACACTCTCTCTCTCTCTCTTTGGGTTTCTTTCTCTCTCTTGGTTCATCATGGAGGAGCAGTGTAGTACGTCGTCGTCGTCGATCGGGAGGAACAGCGACGTGTCGTCGGAGAGATCAACGGAGGAAGGAGAAAACGAGGTGGAGAGTCCATTCCATGGACCTTTGCTTGCTATGGAAACTTTGGAAGAGGTTCTTCCCATCAGGTACACTACCCATTTTCTTTTCTTGTTTCTTTCTTTTGATCAACACCCACTTGTCTTGTCATATTAGATTAGACTTAGATCATCCACTTTTACTCCTATAGTATTAGTTCTTTTGTTAAATGAATTACTTTGTGAGGTTTCTTTTGGAGGGTTGGGAAGCTTGCATTTTTGTGGGACAATACCTGAACTAGGATGCCACACTGCCAATTGTTATATCAATTTTTTGTTTTTATTTTGTGTTTGAAAAATGAATTTTTGTGATCATGGGGTACCGATCAACTAGTGTCTGATGTGGTTTCATGTGAGATTTTGCCAAAATTAGTAGCAATCTGTGATTTGTCTTAGAATTTTGAGTTGAACTTAACTGATATTGAGGCTGAAGTTTAGAGGAACGGACCCCAGTAATTTGATAATATCACTCATAATAATAGGCGTAACAATACTATAATAAACTCTGATATTATCTTAAAATTTAAGTGAGTCTAATTTAACCTCATAGACTAGATTATGGAGTGAGGCTTTCCACTAAGCAATGTGTGATCACTAACAACAATTTGATGTGTGCTTGTTTATTTACATTTCATGTGTATTGTTTTTAGATGGTTGGAATTAACGATGTGGTTGTGCAGGAGAGGCATTTCGAACTTCTACAATGGCAAGTCAAAGTCATTCACGACCCTGGCTGATGCTGTGTCTTCCCCATCAGTGAAAGACATTGCAAAGCCAGAGAATGCTTACGCCAGGAGGCGTAGGAATTTGATGGCATTGAATCACGTTTGGGACAAGAATAGAAATTACCCTTTAAGAAGCAGTGGTGGTGGCATTTGCAAGAGATCAATCAGCTTGAGTAGAAGTACTCTGGCTCTTGCAGTTGCCATGAACAATTCTGACAGTAGCAGTAGTATCACAAGTGAAGATTCTGGCTCCAGCTTGAATTCGTTACCCTCACCCTCACAACTACCACCACTTCATCCGCGAAATAGAATGTCTTCTTCTGGTGCAGCTCCATGCTCTCCCTCCTGGAGATCGTTTTCCTTGGCTGATCTACAACAGCATTGTGCCATTGCTGCAACCATAAAGATATCAAGTTCCTCCATTGGAAATGAAACAGCTCATGGATCATAGTAAACAAAGAGGATAACAAACTATGTTATTAACTTTTAGTTATTTGAATGAATCTCTTGCTCTAGTCCTATTTGTTCGAGCGAGCAAGTTGTAGAAGCCGTGCCTTTGTGTACGATCCCTTCAAATTAACTAAGTAGGATATAATATTGCTGGCCCTTTGAGCGTTAAGCCCTCCCTTTCTTGTAGTGCTAAATAGTAATCTCAAATATACATACTCAGCAACGTGACAACGTTCACAGGCCAACCAGATCAGCAAAGGCGTCATCCACTTAATGAATAAATTCTAAAAACATGGAGAATTTGTATTAATCGTATCATCGTGGAAAAGTAGCAAAACGAAACGAAATATCCAAGGGTAAAGACATTTCTATTGCTAGCCCAACTTTTGCAGCTGAAACCATGTGAGAATCGTCACTTATATTTCTTTTCAAGTTCAAAACTGTCCAACACAAGTCGCCTTTGACAATTTGTTTCATTCAATTATTGCGTTAAAACATAGGTATGTAACAAGAAAAAATTTGCGATTGTCTGTCGTTCATTTGCTGCCAAACGCAACAATCTAACTAAAATTATGATCACATGTTAGAGCAAAACAAAAACAAAGGTAACTCGAGAATATTCGAAGCTTAAGGGTACTCGAAATCCGAGAATGCATGATATCGTGGGTGATCAGAAAATAATAAAAGGAAGTTCTGGAAACATATAAAGTACAAGAAGAATCAAGAGGTACTCAAATATATCTTTCGCGAAGCACTCAAAATCCTTAAAATTCTGTCACTCATAAAATGTTTCGTAGTTTCGCAACCTCTCAAAGTGAAGGAATTAGAAGAGACATGATTAGAAACAGCTTCTGAGTTGACAAAGTACATGTGAAGTACAAGAAGAATTAGAAGATATTCGAATATATCTTTCGCAAATCACTCAAAATTCCAGGAACCCGGCTATTCATGAACATGTTTCACAACCTCTCGAAATGAAAGAATTGAAAGAGACACAATTAGAGACTGGTCGAAATAAATCTAAGGGATAAGTATCAGAGACTATAGAGCAATTTGGGAGGTTAAAAACGGTTCCGGAAGTTATTAGAAGATGTGCATAAATGATCCACAATATAAAAGTTTAAAACGGTTACACATTCATGACACGCCAGATATAATTATTTTGATCCCTCAGATCTCTATAAATTAACGAGTCGCGCTCATGAAAAATGGTTAGAAATTAAGTACTCACAAAAGCTCACAAACACTCTCTGCATGCACATATGGCTCTTGTGTACAAGACGACTGAGTACGATTTCTTGACCACCTTTTCTTTTTCTTTGTAGTTTAGGTCTAGTGTAATTTAGTATAGTTTTCTAATCACCAATTATTATCCTTATGCATTGTAATTCTGTCACTGTTGAATGAAGGATATTATTTCTGCAATCAATATACATGTTTATTCGATTCATATTAATGTTCATATGCATGGAATTAGTTGTATGATAAATATTGATGAACACCTGGAGATTCTGGTATGCTAAGCAAGTATAATTGTACCTTAATTAATTAATTCTATATGTTGTGTATATAATTCATCACTGAAAAGTTGCAAAAACTGGTCACATTATACATGCCTAAATTAAAATCTACTAGTTCGAATAAAAAGAACCTACAAACAAAAATCACCATAAACACCACCCCAATCCCAATTGGAACAAAATCAGGGTATTTACAAAGGTAGTGTGTTTATTAATGGCATTTATGTACGAAAACAATGGGCAAAAATTCTTGAAGGCGAAACAAAATGTGGAACTTTAGCAAAATTCAATGAGCCTAGTATTTACATCAATGAATGAAATTTCACTTTTGCCAGGGCCTAGTTACAATTGCATACCTACATAGAATACAACATGAAAACAAATAATATACCTAAATTAAATAATTGACAAGCTTACAGTGTTATCTATACTACAGGTAATTACAAACGTTGGCTGAACTATGTAAATTTTTTTAGTTGGGGGGCTGGGCATAAAGTGTAACAATAAATCCGACGACAACCAAGATTGCTGTCCACGTATAGAGAAACTTGTGTTTCAATGTGAATACCGTTGTCATTCAAACTTCAAGCCACAGTAACGATCACGAAATTGTAGACCAATTACTTCTGATGTAAACTAAGAAACTGGGCGCAAGAATATTTAGAAACGAATTCTGGTAGATCAATCTCATCAAGATCTATGGCAGGAATTGCCATATCTATGTCTTCGGCAGAGAAAGGAATGCTGCAGCCAAAAAATGAAGGTTAAGACAAAGGAATCTCCAATGGCTCTTGTTTGATTCTTCACGTGCAAATACATTTCTTGATTACTAATCTGGTGCAATTTCAAATTTAATTTCCAAAGTTGTGTAAATTGCAAAAAGCCATGAATGTCACGATTCATACTCATCCACGACTGTTTTTTATGTTGTAGGCACTATGCAATATGCATGACTTATATACAGGTTCACATTTTAATATTTTTAAGGATCAACGAGACATACTTGTTGCAAATTTATTCATTTTTTTTATTGTATTTGTGAAGTTCTAGACGTGGGTAGAAGCCTACCCCCCCCCCC